CTCGCACTCGCCCACTCAAAAGCCACTCCCCACTCACTCCCCTAGCCGCGGGCAGGAGTTGAGGTCCCTGCTGCGAAGCACTGGCCGCCGAGTGCAGCCATTTTACCTCTCTCGGATCCGTCTATCCGGGCGCTTTAGAGCGCCTCGTCACCGCCCCTGGCGCCCCGCCTCTCCCCCACCAAGCAGGTATTTTTGCATTCTAAGGCCCGCGATGCCCGCCCCCCTAGGATGAGGGGGCTGGACGCGGGGAGGTGGGGATAGGGTACCGAGACGGGTGAGGGTAAGCCTCTCGGTCTAGTCTCTCACGCCCGTGTAAATAAACACCCGGCGTGTTGTACGCGGCGGTGCGGGCTGACGGCCCAACAGGAATGTCTTAGCGCCTCCCTCCCTTTCCCCCCTTTACCCCCCTCTCCCTGAAGAAGCAAACAGAAAGCGCCACGCAGCAAAACCTAGCCCCTGCAAAACCGCAGCCTCGCTCTCGCTTGCAACGTGCACTTCCCATCGAAGGTCGCGAGCGTCGCGCCATCCGCGTCAAGGAAGGGGTGGTGGCGACCAGCAGGGGAGAAAATATCAAGGATTACCAAGGGGATCAGGACAGCTCATGAGTCCACAGGGACTCCATAATATTTCTACCCCGGGTTACAAATGTTATTCGACCTTTGCCTGCAACAGGCTCCTATCTGTTTCCGCTGCTCCCTACAACAGCCTATCTGTTTTTGGTGCCCCCGAGACTATCCTATCTGTTTCAGAAGTTATCTGCACTCCCGATTAATTTCGCAAATATCTCCAAAACTAGTGGACCAGTTATAACTAAATTTACACCAGATGCACATGAAAGATCAAGGAATAAAATAGTATTCACGCCCGAGGTAAGTAAAGTCCCTACTAATAGCACTCCCACTTCAAAGTCATAGAATTTAAGTAAGCTGAAAAACCAGATAGGATAGTCTAGGGGGGACCAAAAACAGATAGGATGTTGTAGGAAGCAGCGGAAACAGATAGGAGCCTGTAGCAGGCACACGTCGTATTGGGCTCCATGTGATCTCCAGTCACTGTGAAAAATAGTAGGTAGGTTTACAGGAAAATTTTCCTTGACGCAAGTTGTAAAATTACAATTTGAAATCGTAAAAATACATGCAGTACGTATCGATTCAAAATCCATTGGTGAGCAAAAAATCTTTTCTCGTAAATTTACAACTTAAATTATAATTCGAGTTTACGAAAAAATTGTAAATTTACGACGATATTTTTCAAAGTATGACTGTCCCGGATCTATTTGGGACACCATAATATTTGGATCCCCCCTAAAGTCCACGTGGTTCCTAAACAGCCCCTCCTCGGTGACCCAACGCGGTTGTGCGACGTGAACACGGCCAGCCTCCCGTCGCCCGTCGGTATTGCGTCTCACCTCGAAAGCTGACAACAACACGAGCTTTGGTGTCGGCGTTTGGACCGGCGGGAAGATCGGAGGGAGGGGAGAGAAGGGGGTGTTCTGTTACACCCGCAGGGTCCAAAAAGGTGACGGTACAACAAGGGAATCAGAAAGTAAGGTTTTGTGAAGCCACAACATTGGAAACACACATAATGCAAGCAGGTTTATGCAGATTTTAGCACCATTAAAGGGGTGCTGATAAATGTATTTATTTACTTTAAATGGGCATGGAATAATATTTCTGTAATAAGGAACGTTTCGTTTGAGCAACTTTGGGAGTAGTTAGGCCTATCTTTTTGTTACTCCGGTGAATCCTGTCGCAAATTTTCATAACTTCTTTGCACTGTGAGCCGGAGGGCGGGGCTCTGTTTCCCGCGCTGACATTTAAAGCGCTCCCGACGCCCCCTC